TGTTGCACTACCAGCCTCGTCCCGCCCTCCCCTTCTCGTTGGGCAGCCCTCACACGGTGCTTACCTGGAACCTCTTCATGTCCATGAGGCGCTCCAGGGACACCGAGGAGTCCGTCCAATACACCGTCCACTCCTCGTCCGCTCCCGCCTCCCTCAGCCCGCAGCGCCGCGCCGCCCGCCGCACTGCGCCCAAGCAAGCAGGTGACAAGGGGCCAGGCAGGGGACTCGAGCACTGGAGACTGTTAAATCCCCAGAGGGACCAGGGACGGAGTGTGGGACAAAGTTCCCCAGGCTGCAGTTGCCTCCCAGAGACACATGGTATTGGAGGGACCTTCAGGAGGCATCAGAAACAGAAGCTCTACCTGGTTAAACTAGCCCCAGGTGTACTGGGAGCTACCAGCCCCACAACTTCACACACCTTGGGGTGCCAGAGCACCCCCCTGAGCTTCAGCAGGCTGGAATGCCCCTTGGGTCAGACCCCACACAGGCAGATTCAAGTCTTCTGAAGGTACAAGTGTCATCTTCGGAATCAAAAGCCATTTGGCAGCAGAACACACACAAGCAAGGGTGGGAGCAGGAGGTCGCTGCTGGGATGGCTCATTAGTGCCAGCTCTGAGTTTGTGCTGGGGAGGGGATGGAGGCCCATGCACACGAGGAGCTGCTGTGAAGTGGTTCCTGTGGTGCCATGCCAGCTCCTGGCAGGATCCCCATTCCCTCCCCCCCCCCGCCACCAAACCTCCGAGCAGGAAACACACAGTGCCTGTCCCTCTGGGTAAAATCTGCATTCCCTGCTCAGCCAACCAGGCTGGGACCTTCAACACGGCTGCACTGCTAGAAGAGTCTTTAGCACCTTGGCTAATAACATCCACCGAGTGCCAGGAGTCTGTTTAAGACCCAGCTTGTGGCAGGAAAGAGGAGCAGAACAGGAGAGGGGGGCAGCTCTCTGGAGTGTCTCACTGGAGACAGGCAGCACAGGGAGAGGTTCCAGGAATGATCCTGCCTGTTGAGCAGCTGCGAGCCCTCACCTCAGTCTCCCAAGCACAGGTACCCGTGTGTTGCCACCACCCCTAACTAACCCCTTCTCCCCTATTTTAGGTGCACGGGCAATGCAGGCAGAAGGGGACAACGACTGGTGCTGCTGTACCCACCGCCCCATTAAACCAGAGGGGACCTCAGCGACAAGGGTGACAAACCCCCGACTTTTCACAGGGTCCCCGTCGCTCCCAACCAGTAGGTTTGTAAGAGGAGGAAAGGAAAGGGGCGGTGCAGGGGAACTGGGTACCGGCGCTGCCCCCCGGCCTGGGGCGGGGACAGGGACACCCTGCAGCGCCCCGGACTTACCGCTCTCGTACTTGCAGCTGGTCAGGTTGATGGAGGGGGCACTGGAATGGAGAGAGACCACAGGACAACGTGTCACGGAGCTAGCGGGCTCCGCACGGGCTGGGACGGGCCCTGAGCGTGGGCCCGGCCCGGGACACACCACGCTGGGTATTACTGGGACAACCGGAGGAAAGGAGCGTTTATTGTCTAGTTCACGGGGGCTCCGGGCAGCGGCCGGGGCTGGGGA